ATATATATATATATATATATTACCCTAGTTATCTTGAGGGAATATGTTAGTGATCACAATCATGAGTTTTTAAAGAATTAATTTAATGATTTCATGAGGAATCTAAATTTCTTTTTCCCCTTCATGAAGAATCCAATTTACTCACATATATTTAATCAAATAATAGAACATCTTCCAAAGTGGGTGGCATTAAGTGATAAATATAAAGACAAGGCCATTAAACAATAGGAAGTTAACATGCACTAGTATTCCATCTTTTCCCCTAATCATTATTAGTGCGTCCTAAGTACATTCACATTAAAAAAAAATACATTTGTAGGTGCCAGCATGAAATGATGAAGCTAGCTGCCCAGAATTTCAGAGAAGAAGGCAAAGAACAGGAACACAAATCTCCCCATGTGAGTCTGATTTGGGGATATATAAAGCAAAGAAAGCTGAGTTTCTCACAAAGAGTTTCACATGGGAGGAGATGGAGGACATGATTCCTACATAATCCTTTTCTCTTCACAGCTCATCCTTAACCAAATTCCTATTCCTATAAGTAGTACTCATACATATTCTTTAATTAAATTGTTCGGGTTCGACTCTTAATTTTGACTATAAAATAAATTATATTTATAAGTTAATAATTATTTTGTGTGTACTTTTTATAATTTTTTTCAAGGATTAATCACTTATTTTTAGTGATAAATATTTCTTACCAATGTGATGATTAAAAAAATATTCTATATCTTTTCAATATATACCCACTATCCCATAGTTTAATCTGCCCCAAGATCTTCTCCCATGTAACTGCACCAAGGAAAAATTAAATGATCCACATTGCATGCCTTTTTTAGTCACTAAACAAATGCATTATTTAAACCCCATTAATCACAAACTTGCCAAATACTCAATTGAATGATGAAAACCCATTTGCACACTCTTGGATTAACATATAAAAAAGGGAACCAAAATCTGATCCAAACCAAAGTACAAATATCGGATGCCAGCCGTATCAATTAATTAATCCGACCCAAAAATGGTAATAAAACACATAAAGAAAAGATGATTATGCATAGAATAATCAAATTGAACGGTTCTGATGACACACTGACCATGTGAAAACCAGGAGGCCAAGCATTGAATGTGGTCCCATTATATATCCCAGTGTAATTAAAGTGCTATGTGGATAGGACACAACACAACACAAGAGGAACTCCCATACTCTATAGACCAAGCTTTTTAGGCAAGGGTAAAAAAGAACTCCCCAAGTTCTATAGGGATGAATTTTTTTATTTTTTATTTTATAATTTTTATATATGGTATACAGTATCATGACATGAGACAATGGATGCCAAGTGAAGGGGTCACATCTGCACGTGGTTGCTGATTCCTATAGTTATTAAACTACACTCCAATTTTCCCACTAAAACCGTTGAGTCTTTCACCACCTAGCTGTTGCTAGCTGTCTCTAATCCCCTCCCATGTGACCCACCTCCCCTTCATTCTCTCTCCCTCCTACACCCTTAGAAAAACAAACATTACATTAACACATAACTATATGACTTCACATTTTACGCTTCCATGTTGTCGACACGATTTATATACATAATTTGTGTTTGATTATACGTACATTATGTAAAAACTCTTCATATTAATGATGATCAAAGCAGAATTAGTCTCTAACTCACTCAACTAAAAAATATTTGTGATTGAAAAAAAAAAACTATTAACACATACCAAAATCTAAGAAAAGGAGGGAAAAAGGAGAAAGAAAGAAAAAAAAAAAGAAAAGAAAAGAAAACTTTATAGCAATAAATAAAAACACCATTATGAGGTTGTACATGGCACAATGGCATTCTCTCCCAACTCTCATCATCTCCTTAATATCTCTCTCTCCCACTGGTTTTAGAAACCCAAGAACAAGATTTTGAAGTAAGATTTGCGGTTGGTTTGTGTGTTGGTTAGGTTGTTGGGATCTCTGTTGTTCCTCTTTCTCTCTCTGTCTATTTTCTCAGACACACACACTTAAGATACACAAGGCCATTATACGTAGTACACACAATTTTCGGTATCTCTCTATATTTGGGGTCACACATACATAGGTAATGGCACAGTTACCTCCCAAAATACCAACCATACCCCAAAATTGGCCATCTTTCCCTCACCAGAGGGTACCCTCAATGGCCAACTTCTCCCCCACAACCTCAACCACCACCACCACCACCACCGCCACCACTCCTCCGCCGCCATCATGGGTCGACGAGTTTCTCGACTTCTCGTCGGCCCGGCGGGGGGCCCACAGGCGATCCGCCAGCGACTCCATTGCCTTCCTGGAAACGCCCTTCCTCGAAGAATGTCGGGCCGGTTTCGACCGCCTCGACGAGGACCAGCTCATTTCCATGTTCTCCGACGACATTGCCACCGCCGCGCTGCCGCCGCCGCCCCTCTCCTCGGCCTCCAACCCCTCCTCGCCGTCCTCCGACCAGAATAGCAACAACGACGAGAAGCCAATGGCAATGGCGTTGGACGTTAAGCCCAAGACGGAAACCGTTGAGGATGAAAGCTCCTGCAAGAATGAGGCGGCGCCGCCGCCACCCTCCGCCTCCGCCACCTGCACTGAAACCGTTGTCGATCCCAAGAGGGTCAAAAGGTAATCCTCATCGCACCAAATATTAACTATTGTTTTATTACTGTGCTACAGTATTATTTTATATTCTATTCTTTCCCACATCCCATGCACGTACAATTAATGAAAATGATTTTATTTTTCAAATAAACTAGCTCTAATAGCTTATTCTATAATTTAATATATATTCATATAAATAGTTTAATGAATTTATTTTCTACACATTTACTCTTGATAAATCAGAAATTATTAACTTTTAGATAACTGATATAAAATTCAATAATTTATTTACATGAGAATATGTAATATTGTATTTTGTATAGATTATTTACTCTGAATTAACTTAATTAATACTCGTTGAGTAAAAAATTATTCATAAATTTACTATAAAATTTGTCAAGATAACTTGAATAATTATAATTACTGTCATGAGTTTCATAATTTATTTAAACGTCAAAAAATTACTAGCGTGATCAATTCTTTGTCTTACACATTAAGTTATTTTAGGATGGAATTTTGAATATTAAAATATTAATATTATACTTTTTTAGTACCTGGTGGCTATCTGTGTTTGCTACATTATTCTTTGAGAATTATCAATAACATGATCAAAAGCCTTCGTTGTTTATTAATAGAGAATTGAATGATAAATACATTGCCAAATTATCGTTTTGATCGGTACACTTTAATGTAACTGAAGTGTATGATAAATTAAATCGAAATTTGTGATATATTTGTTTTGTGAACAAGAAAAAAAATGTTTTAACTGATAGTTATATATTCTGTATATCTTACACAGTTAATTTTATCAAACCAATTAAATTAGTTAGTTGAGTGCAGAAGTTAATGTTCGTCCAATCATATCTCTTGTATCCCTTTTTCTTCCAAGCTACTTTCATGTAACCTCATAAGATAAGTGATTGATTTTTTTATATGTATCAAAATTAACATGTGTAGATGTATACACCAAAATAGATCTAATTGTTTATTGTTATATATTATTTGTACGCGTACCAGAATTTTGGCAAATAGGCAATCAGCTCAGAGGTCAAGGGTGAGAAAGCTACAATACATTTCTGAGCTTGAAAGGAGCGTAACTACTTTACAGGTGAATAACTTTAATTTAATTTAAAGAATATATATATATATATACACATATATATGCTGCACCAAGAATTCATATAAATGTTACATGCATGTGGCTTAGTAGTAGCATATTTATCCTCTCCATTAGTAAATAAGATTTGTGCTAATTATGAGAAATGTGAAAATAATGAAGACGGAGGTATCAGCATTGTCACCACGAGTTGCATTCCTGGACCATCAACGTTTGATTCTTAATGTCGACAATAGTGCCTTGAAGCAACGGATTGCTGCTTTGGCCCAAGACAAGATTTTCAAAGACGGTATAATGCTCTCTTCTTTTCCTTTTTTCATTTTTTAAATATATGCTAATCATGTATATTTTGAGATATTACTGTGAAAAGATTATTCTTATGTTACGTGTAAATCTATAACAATATATAAATGTCATATGATGTTTTTTTTACACATTTTAACATGTCTTTATTTTCTATTTAATATGATACATACTTTACAACAGTTTTCTAACTTCTAAATATTGATTATATTTTTTTCCGCTAGTAATATATAATACATATACGTGCGTGTGACCTAACCAGACGTAGTTCATATCCTAAGATTCTTGATCTTCATATGTTGATGTTGATATTGATATCTATATGCAAAGGCATATATATATATATATATATAGAAAATGAGAATTACATTCTTTTATTCCATCTTGTGTCACCTTTGGAACTTCTAAAAGCTAAGCAGTAAGCAGCATATTGAGATAGTGGGTATACATTTTTGAATCTCTCAGCTCACCAAGAAGCACTAAAGAAGGAAATAGAGAGACTGAGGCAAATCTACCACCAACAGAACCTACAGAAGATGAGTAACTCGGTGAACAACAATGTTCAATCAACACAAACATCACAGGCACAAGCAATGCAACTCCATCAGCAGCAGCTAACAGTTTCTCAACCATTGGGATGCAAGGACAATAAGGAGCAGCTCCTGAGTTGAGACAAGGAATAGTGCTGTGGATGTATGTTCCTTGCAATTGGTGCTATGCTAACTAGAACTTTCACGTGATGTGTTTCCCGTCCATGTTGAAGTGGGGTTCATGACATAGTGATGGGGTTGGAGGGTAGGAAGTTGACAAGTGGATTGCTTGAATAGGTTGAAGAATTTTATGCTTTCAAGGTGGTGAATTGGTTACCTTGGGGGTTGGATTGGAATTTTGGGATTTGATGATTTCTTCTGATTACACTTTTGGTTTTTCTTTTTTAACAGAAAAATTATTCTCAATCATTTTTTATTTTGTTGGGTGGAATAAGGGGACAAAGCATCGTGGTTTTGTATTGGGATATGCATGGAAGCTGTCAGAGAATTATTTTTCTCCTTTTTTTTTGTTTGGAGGAAGGGGGTGTCTGATCGCACTATTTTTCTTGTTTTTCTTCCTTGGGACTAATTGTTTGCTATTTTATTTTATTTTGGATGAATTGTACAAAATTCTAAGCCAACTTAACACTTATTCTTACTTCTACATATGGAGGTTGTGTTATATGTAATAGATTTTATATCATCAAATTTCTCTATCTGTTGAAGCATACATATGGATGGGTAATATTAATTTTAACTTTGATCTATGTAGTTTAAGCAGGTTTATAGTATAGTTTTAAAGTTTGTTGTTATAACGACCCGTCATGGTCTCTACACTTATGTGGAATCGTATTACTACTAGTGAACTACGAGAAATATTAAGCTGGATAACTCATACATACAAGTATATATAAAAAAATAACTAAGTTTCTTAAAATAAAATACCATATATGTACAGTTATCTCAAAAATAATATGAATATTTATATTGAATATTGTGATAATACCTTTGGATATTTAATTATATTTTGAATTTAAATAAGGACTTTAAGGTAACAAATTGTCACAACTTACACCTTTAAACGTATTTTATTTAACTAGTACATTTATTTTATAAAAATCAGAATTATTATATAAAAAAGATAATATTATTATTTTTTTGGCTCGATAAGATTTATTTATTACTCCTACGTATCTCCACATGTAATGGAGAATCAAAGTCACGTAATTCTTTGTAAAAAATATTTGTGTGTTAATATATTTAATTAAATGTTATTTTTTATTAGATTTAAGATTCATGAACTGTCTCAGCTCATTCACCTTAAAATATAAAATTGACTGAGGTGTACACCAAAGTCAATTCAACAAAATATTTAATTTTAATTATAATTATTGTCATCGATATTATTATTACTATGGTACATACTTAGAAGATTTTGGTTGGATATTTTTATTTTGGAGAAAAAAATTAAAGATATCACAACTTGTATCTTAAATTCAAAGGTTAAAAAGATGTCAGATCTAAATAACCATTCCTCCAATAAATTTTTGATATAGTGACTTAAAATATTTATATTGAATATTGTGATAATACCTTTGGATATTTAATTATATTTTGAATTTAAATAAGGACTTTAAGGTAACAAATTGTCACAACTTACACCTTTAAACCCTAGAATCAAGAAAATGTTACATTCAATTATTCATCTTTTAAATGTGTTTATTATAATTTGATTAAATTACAGATATTAGTCTTAACTTTCATCAAGTGCTTTATTCTAAAAGACTTAGAACCTCAAAACTGTCACAACTTGTGTTCTAAGAATTTAAGGTCAAAGAGATGTTACACCAAATTAACCATATTTTAAATTTTGAATATTAATTATTTTGTCATTAATCAATAAAAATATTTAAATTGTTTTTAGTATTTTTATCTTATAGTAAATATATAATTAATACCATTATAAGTATAAAAGTAAAATACAAACAACGCACTTATTTTAACAAAGCTTCATTCATCTAGATTTTTTTTATATATGCAGACAGAAGATTTTGGTTGGATATTTTTATTTTGGAGAAAAAAATTAAAGATATCACAACTTGTATCTTAAATTCAAAGGTTAAAAAGATGTCAGATCTAAATAACCATTCCTCCAATAAATTTTTGATATAGTGACTTAAAATATTTATATTGAATATTGTGATAATACCTTTGGATATTTAATTATATTTTGAATTTAAATAAGGACTTTAAGGTAACAAATTGTCACAACTTACACCTTTAAACCCTAGAATCAAGAAAATGTTACATTCAATTATTCATCTTTTAAATGTGTTTATTATAATTTGATTAAATTACAGATATTAGTCTTAACTTTCATCAAGTGCTTTATTCTAAAAGACTTAGAACCTCAAAACTGTCACAACTTGTGTTCTAAGAATTTAAGGTCAAAGAGATGTTACACCAAATTAACCATATTTTAAATTTTGAATATTAATTATTTTGTCATTAATCAATAAAAATATTTAAATTGTTTTAACCCTAGAATCAAGAAAATGTTACATTCAATTATTCATCTTTTAAATGTGTTTATTATAATTTGATTAAATTACAGATATTAGTCTTAACTTTCATCAAGTGCTTTATTCTAAAAGACTTAGAACCTCAAAACTGTCACAACTTGTGTTCTAAGAATTTAAGGTCAAAGAGATGTTACACCAAATTAACCATATTTTAAATTTTGAATATTAATTATTTTGTCATTAATCAATAAAAATATTTAAATTGTTTTTAGTATTTTTATCTTATAGTAAATATATAATTAATCAGACCCAGAGTCCTTCTCTCTAAAATTTCTCTCTAAAAACCTCATTTTCTCCTCAACCACAAGCCCCTATTTATAGCAGCCAATACATATATACAACTCAAAATTTAATCATGAATTCAATTCTAGATTTCCTTACCTCAACTCCCAATAAAGAGAGGAAAAGAGTTGAGGTTCTGAACTCTACGAAGCTGTACAACACACCTCTACAAGGATGATCACCAGCCAAGAGACTCCAATCAACACTCGCGCACCAAACATATAAATATTGCTCTCCTAGGAAAGTCTAGAAAGAAAAGAAGAAGGATCAAAATCTCCAAAGCTTCTCCTTCTAATCTATCTCTATAGGATTTTCAAGAACTAATTAAACTTATGAAACTCAATTATAAAAAGAAACCTTATATACTCCTTCACTCAATGTCTCAAGAATTAAACTTATGAAACTATAACATAAACCTTATATACTCCTCCCCTGAATATCAGATTGGACCTTTGTCTAGAAAAACCTGCTAAATACCCAAAAACTCTCTAAGAGCTTCTTAAATTTTAGAGTCCCTCAACAACAATTCCAAAACAATAATGACATTTTTGTATATCATTAAATGCAACATTTCATGTAGTGTATTGAAATAAAATATTTATTTGAATTACTCATTATTTTTTAAAAGTCCTATATTTTAAATAATTGTAAACAAAGAAATCCCCTAGATTTTCGGATTGTTCATTACTAAGAAATAAGAAGCTAAAATATATGGAGAAACAAAATTATATATGTAGCAATTATTTTCTTCAGATTTTATATTTTTAAAAAATTACAAGCATATATTTAAGTCATGTTGAGGAATTAAAGCTTTTGAGAGATGTTGTCAATAAGTTTATAGTATTTTAAAAACTTAATTACATATTTTACAATTTTTCTTTTACAATTTTATAAATTTTGTTACTCAACTATTTTATTTGCAATTCAAGTTAAATTACACAAAATGCAAAATTATGTGTCTTATCATGAATATGTCACCATGCTGTTTAAAGTTTAGTGGACATTTAGCATTAGGACAAAATGTAAAAATAAAATAACTGAGTAACAAAATTTGTAAAATCATAAAAGAGGAGTGATAACATATACAATTAAATCGTATTTTAAACTTGATTAATGTATTCTGATTTTAAAGGTTTATAGTATTTTTCCTATACGTGTATCTTACGTTGAATACCTTATAATTTTGCTTAATCATATTGTTTCAAAATATGTCCATTGTTTCAAAGTACGTATGTCCATTGTATCAAAAGATGCTTATGCATAAAAAATACTCATGTACTTTTCCATTTGCAATTAAGAAAAAAAATGCAAATAAAGTAAGTTTCTTATATCTTATTTGAGTGTTTTCTCTCATCTAATTTATATCTTATTTATTTATTTCAAAGTAATATTAATTATGAACTTAGTTATTTGGAGGATATATTTTGTTTTTGTTTTAAAGCCCAAACTCACAAAAAAAAATCATGATAAATAGTGTGTGCATATGAAGGTTATTCTTGAATCTCAAGATGCATGAGAGATGGTATAACAATGATATAATGAACCGAAATTAAAAATTCCAGTTAATGCTAAAAACTTCCTATGATTTTCTTTAGAATGACCCAATACCAATGCTTTTGGATAAATACATGTTCAATACAAATAAAACAAGAGATAATGATTCATTTATTTCTCTTCTGTTTCTTTTTTTTAAAAGATACAATAATTTTTAAGAGCAAATTAAATCCACTAATGTGCATCCTTTTTATCTATAGGAAATAGACAGTTGACTTTTATTGTCAAATACGGTTTCCTTATAGTTTTGATCACCATAATTTTTATTCTATTATGATATGATGCTATCTTAGTCATCAGAGAGAGTGGGAAATTCAAGGAGAAAAACAAATGCAGAAAACACCTATATATCTTTTACAACTTTTCAGGTACTTTTGTCATTCCCACTTGTACTGCTCTGAGAGTTTCAGCTTTATACAAATTTTGAAAAGACAAAAGTTAGACCCATAATTATTTGAACTTATGCGGTCAGCAATAATCATCCAT